AGGAAAAGAAGAAGGACAGAGGGAGACCGAACATGGCGCTGACCTGGTCTAGGCACAGATCAGATAGTACAGGAGACATAAGATAGATGATATCGAGAAAGAGAGAGTTGAGTTCGCCAGAGGAGAGGGAGAAGGTGACAAAAAAAAGTACAGGGCAAATGGAAGGAGGGGGGTCAGTAATGGAGGGGTTACAGGAAAAATATGCGAATAAGATGGATAGAGAGTTGATGTTTATTATGATGGAAAAAATGATGGAGGCGGAGAGAGAGATAAAGCAAGAGGTTGCAAAATTGAGGATGGAGATAAGGGAAGAAGTGGCGAAGGAGATTGAAAGGAAGGGAAAGGAGTGGGAGAGAAGAAGTCAAGAGTTAGAAATAAGACTAAAGGAAAAATTGCAGGATTGGAACAATAAATTACAGGAATGGGAGAACAGAATAAAAGAAGGAAACAAGTGGGTTGTGGGAAGCAGTAGCGATTTAAGAATGGAAGCAGGAAAACAAATGGAGGTAGAGAAATGGGTAAAAGAGGTAGAAAGAAGATGCGTAATAATAAGGGGGTTAAAAAGAGATAAAAAAGGTTTGGAGAAAGAGATGGAGGCCTTTTTTAAGCGAAAACTGGACACAGAGGTGAAGGTAGAAGAAGTGAATCTGATGGGGTATGAAAAGAAAATTATAAGAGTGAAACTGAGCAAGAGAGAATAAAAGGAAAGTATTATGCAAAATAAGAAGAGGTTAGGAGATGAACCGGTATATATTGAGCATGACAGAACAAGGGAGGAGAGAATGGTTCAAAGAGATACAGTCAAACCTGTTTTTGTGCAGTCTTTTTTTATGCGCTTTTTTTTGTGCGATTCTTTTTGTGCGATTCTTTTTGTGCGATTCTTTTTGTGCGATTCTTTTTGTGCGATTCTTTTTGTGCGATTCTTTTTGTGCGATTCTTTTTNGCCTTTTCCTCATCGCGACTCGCCAGGCGAGTCGTCGGGTCTGTGAGCCTGTTATAGATTTTTACGTCGGGCAGGGAACTAACCTAAGCTTTTAACCCTCATCCTTTATCTGGACTTGGGACCGGCAACATAACAACTAAGCTTCTCAATCCACCCAATGATTATGCAGGCGGATTGAAGTGTTAACAACACACAGTGTTCCCAAGCAGTCACCGATCCAAATACTAACCGTGCACAGTGATATTTAATGATCGGACAAGAACTAGTGTCTTTAGCACAGCTATGGTCGTTTACAGCATTACTATTGTCTCTTGTTTAAATGAATTTTTCAACTACCGACCTGAAGTAATCCTGTAAGTCATTTCAGTAGGGTAATTTTTCTTGTCTTGGCAATACATATATAGCCGAAATGTGAAATTTGTGCCAGATTGTAAACTGCAATTGTGGTTGGTTGAAGGTGTTCTCGTCGATTTCGAATATACGGATAGTGTTTGATTTCCTTTTAAATATAAATGCTGTAACTTTCGTTTGCTTTCCTTGATGTACGTCTTTTATTCTATATATTATGTTATGGGATTTTTAAATAGCTTCTTGTACTGAAATATGATTTAAAAACGAGTATATCAATATTGTCATTGATTAAGAATTTTTTTTTTCGCTACGACTTTTTGTTGCAATCCTTTAAAGAGTTCTAGAACACTATTTTGGGGATAGTCATTTTTATTTCATAGTTACCTCGTTTGTGAGCTATTGTAATACAGTTGTTGGTTGGAATTATTGTTTTAGTATTGCATTTCTTTTAATTATCATATTTGTTAGTATTACACTAGTTTCTTACTAATTTTACCTCTCCTAATATAAGGCACTTAATTAAGAGGTGATTTTGTGCATATTTTGCTCACGCAGTTATATTGCAATATTTCTTGGTTTGTCAGTATTTGTTCACATCTTAAGCATTGCGGTATTTTTCTTTATGTTGTCATAATTATACGTTTAATATATTGTTTATTATTTTGTTTATACTTAAAATATCCTTGTTATTGCTTTTAGGTTTGAATTCTATTATAAACAACAGCAATACCCGTTTCATATCATATTTCATAATACAATTTAGTGATCTTACTCTATATCCCAGCATTGTAAATTCCTTCTTAATGTTTGTACTGACTTGCATTCAGATGTAAGTTTCCAATGTAAAAATCGGATGACCGTTTCGCAGCTTTTTTCCGTCTTCAGTTGCTATCTATGATAGGCTGACTTTTTTTTTTACTTTAGAACTTGTTTTACTTTACGAAATATTTCAAGAGTGTTAATTAGTTTTTAACATTATAAGGGTTAATTTGTTTTAAAGTATAGTTTTCTATCGCGACCATATAATTAAAAGAAACTCAATACAGGGCCCTATTATTTGAGCCTCAAGATAAATTGATTGTGGTTAAATAAAATAAGATCTAGTTACATTTATCTTTATCTCTTCTTCCAATGAGTTAAWCGTAATRGAAAGKKGTATTTTCCTGTAAGTAGTGCTGCGTTTCGAAATTGTTTGCATATAAAATTATTTTATGGCTTTTATTTACTAAAGCTTTATCAGTTAAAACAAAAATTCAATAGACTATTATATTTTATTTTTTTAGCGCTTCGATTTAGTACAACTTTTTTGCAATTTAATACTATTTTTGATAGGTAACACCAGTCTAGAATTTACAAAAGATCATTTTCTTTTTAGGTGAAAGTGTTCTTTAAATTTCTAAAAACAATATGCACTTGGTCCTAAAGCAAAAAAAATTTTAAACATTTTTTTTTTTAAGTAACGCCATTTTCACAGAATTTGATTTAGGAAAAAATCCCTGCATGCTTTTATAGGTAGTGATACATAGGTAAAGATTTTCTTTAGTTTTTTGTTTAAAGTCTCATACTGACGCTATTTTGTATCTAAAGTCAATAAAAATTTTTTTTTTACATAGTTTAATATATGATCAACAAACCTGCAAAACAGAAATTGTATTTTGCATTAAGTTTTCGCAAAAAAAAATTCCCCAAAAATGGCGTTTTTTAGTCCCTGGAGTGGTGTTACTTCTTAATAAAATTTCCTACTTGCTAAAAACAGTAGATGTAATATAATCTAAAATAAATACAGTATTTTTCTTAWKAAAAACTTATTACTTAATTAAAAATAAATGTCTGTATATTACTGGCTGTTATTCTATAACAATTATTAAATACAAAGTAAGATTAATTTATTACTAAATTGCTTACCTTTCCGGTAATTCCTAATTTTTTTAGAAATGTATACCTGTTTTCGGACAGAAAGAATATTTTCTGATTATAAACGTAAATAATAGKTAATAGTTTCTTAAAACTAAAAACTTATGTCTAGGAACATCCAAACTAGAAAAACTACTTAATGTATACCTATTTCTATTAAGTTTGTGTAAAAATGATTAATTTCTAGAAAGCAGTTCTATTTTGTTATAATTATCGTAGGTAATATATATATAGATAAGTAAATAATATAATACTTATTTTATATAATATTATGTAATACACATAACATAATACTGTAGTAATAAATTACCTCGCGCGNAAAAGGTGTAAACATTTTAAAGAAATAATAATACCATTAAGTACATTGTAGCGATTGTAGTCATCATCATAATTTTCATAGTCGGGTGGATCATCATTTCCATTATTCTTATAGCATCGAGATCCAGTGGTTCTTGACTCGTCTTCAAAATGTTATTGCATAATGAATTGATAATCATTAGTTTCACTCATTTTACGCACAGACGATGATATTTTTGGAACAAGGGGAGTCTTTCTCTGATCTTCAATTGTAGGGATCGTAGGCATTGGAGAAGCTGTAAAGCGAGACCGGGATGTAATATTGCACAATTTTTTCGGTAAATAAAGGTACACAAAATATAATTTTTTCTTACCTGGTTTAATTGTCCTATCATCGCCGTCTTCATCAGAATTATCAGATACCTTGCTGTATTTTGAATTAACAGCAGCAGCAGTAAGTCGCTTCGATCTAAATCCTCTTCCCAATGGTTTTTCGGTCGTTGACTCATAKTCCGAATCTTTGGCAGCTTTTCTTGCTGCAGCCAGAGTATCTAAATAGAAATGATTAAAATAATTATGCAATTTTCCATTATTACGTAATTATTTTGTAATTTTTAATTAACAGGTCTAAWAATTTTATTATTTACCACAATATCTTAAAATGGTTATTTCATGAATAGGCTAATCATCATTTGGTTCGACTCTATGTTTTAACAATTGCTGTAGATTTTTAACAAAAGATGGCTATTGACACTTCGTCTTTTTTCTTTAAGGTTCATCGCAATACAGAAACCAATTGCTTAGAATTTCCGAATACAAGTCTTATTTAATAAAAAAAAAAACTACTCTATATGGTTTTGCCATAGACTTGTTCACTATAAAAACGTAAATATTTTTTTAAAAATCACTTTGCATTACTCAGAGCACCAGAAATTTATTTAAAATTGAAATATCTTTAATATTAATTACAGCCTTTATTATTTTTAATAATACAGACATAATTGACAATGGGATTATTTTTTAACTTTAAATAATAAGATAATATGAAAAATGTGTTTTTACTAGATAAAAATTGCGTATKTTATGTCAATTTAATTTATATTTGTTGAGCAATGTTGATWTAGTTTATAACTGTTATATGATAGGTTAATGCTAGGGACCAAAGATGTAATGGTGGTTTAATTGAATTTATTAAGTTGATATTATTTTAGTTACTTCCGTTTTTTGTTTTTYTTAGAGATAAGTTGGTGTCCATGCTATTCATTTTTCTTTTGTCTTTACTTCTTCTCCTTACTTTCATAATGTTACACGTGTGCAATAAATATATCTGTTTTAATGAAAGAAATCCTTCCATTTTTATAAGTCATAACACTATAAATTAACAGGTTATGGGCCTAGTGTGTGCTTGAAGATTTAATTTTTATATATTTTTGTTTGCTTTAAGGAAATTCCAGCCTTAGTTCAAAAGTGAAAGATAGCCTTATAAGTCGTAAATATGCAGCACGAATTAGCAAGGATAAAAAAATTGGAAGGTGGTGATAATTGGAATCTCTGGAAATTCCAAGTTACAATTTTGTCAAAGTCTTGTAATAGCTGGGATGTTGTAAATGGTAAAGCGGCACTAGAAGCTTTGGATGCAAGCGCAGAAGCCAGAAGAGAATATGAGAAGAACAAAGCCGCATGGTGCAAGGCAAATGCTATCGCACAGAAGATAATTGCTACTACAATTTCTGAACAGGGTATGATGCATATCATTAATTGTGATAATTCAAAAAGCATGTGGGATAAACTTGTTGCGGTTTACAAAAGAAGATCGAAAACTAGGATACATGCTTTACAGCAACAATGGTATACGATCACTAAACGTTCAGAGGATGATATAGCAACACACGTATCGAAGCTGGAGGATATAGCACACAGACTGAACCTCATGAGTACGAGTATATCTGATAAGATGTTGATGACAAAGATTCTTTTAACTTATCCAGAAGGCTTTGACCATTTCATGAGTGCTTGGGAATCTACACCAGAAGACCAACGCACAAAGGAAAATCTAATATCGAGATTATCAATAGAGGAAATGCGTCTGAATCAGAGGGAAAAAAGCAACAAAAACGCTTTAATGTCGGGTCTTTACTCAAAACGTCACTGTCAAAACAACAAATATGGCAAAAAGAATCTGCAAAATCAAAATAAGCAGTATAAAAGTAACTGCAAACCTGGGAAATGCCATAAGTGTGGGAGACCCGGACATAGGGCAAGAGAATGTCGCTCCATAATACAACTACGTCAAAAGGTCAGGTAGGAGGAGATGCTCTCATAAGTGGGGCACTTGCTTCTTTACAGCAAACAAAACAAGATAGTGGACATTATGGTACATGGATTCGGGAGTAACTGAACACATGACTCACAATAAGGACTGGTTTGTAGAATATGAAACCCTTAGATCAAATCAAATGATACGTATTAGAGATGGAAATTTCCTGCAAGGAGTAAGCAAAGGAAGCATTAAAATAGTACCCCCCTGTGTCAGGTTTAAAAAATTTTTTTTTTTTTTTTTTTACATATTTCGTAAGAAAAACATTTCAAAAATATGCTCTAAAAATTTCAGACCGATATTTACAGTATTCTCAAATTTATAGTTGAAAGTAGGGAGCGCGTCGTAATGTGTATAAAAGTATACCTGCGCGTCAGAAGCAGCTGCTCAGAACGCTTTCTCTTTTGTTGCCTCCATTTCCTCTCTGTTAGGTGTGTCGTTGATAGGCAAATTTTCAAATAAAATAATTGATGTGATAGTCAAATCAAGCATATGTAAATAATGTCAGTATTTATCAACCAAAGACCACATCAAAGCTGAAAGCTTATACGAAGATCACAAAAATGAATGCAAAGCAAATCACGAGGATAGCAGTGGCAAAATGGAGGTCGACGGTGTTTCTGAAATGTTCAAACGTTCTGAGAAGCGTTATGGTATGAAATACGTGAAATACATTGGACAAACAGCCAGAAACTACRTCGACACCGTTGATAATGCTCGTATTTTGAGAGCGGAGAAAACTTCAGAAGCTAACTCTAAAGAGGCCAGAACCTTACGTAGGGCTCTCAAAGCTGCTGAAAATGATAATTATAAGGAAGCTGAAGGACTACTCTATGCACCAGGCATAGCAGATTAATGTAAATATAATATTTTTATAAAAAATCTGTTCCTAAAACTTTAAACGCGTTTTTCTCGAAACCACGTTTTTGAAATTTTGCGGAAGCACTCACTAAAAACTATAGAACTGATTAGGCTAAAAATTTTATTAGTTATTCGTTACATATATTTTGATGACTGGTACCTTAAAAATCTTTTATTTTTTAATAATAAATATATATCTTTAAACAATTAAAGGTAAGAAAAAGTACCGATTTTGAAAATATTTTTTCATACGTCCATCATTTTGTTTTTATTTGAAAAAAATATACATATTGTTGGTATCATGTCTACAATTAAGCCTAAAGAATAATAAGTATTTTCAGTTTTTTTGTTTCAGACGGCGGCAAAGGCTTTGTGCTTTGCCGAAGGTGCACACCTAATTTTGAGGGACTCCAATTTGACGTTAATCGTCGGAATTTTACGACGTTGATAATGTCCGGTTTGTTGTACAATCGATGAACTTCAATGTTATGGTGTTTTCTCTATTCGCCCGTTTCCTCATGGCGTCTCGCATCGAAGATTTTACGAAGAACTTTGTTTTCGAAAACCCTAAATTTCTTTTCGTCCTATAACGTAAGCGACCACAATTCGCTACCATAAGGAATTACCGGCAGGATAATAGTCCTGTATATCCTGATTTTTAATCGCCTAGATAGCAACCGCGAGCTGAGTAATTTGTTAACTGATTAGAAATATGAATGGCCTAGATTGATTCTTTTCTTAAGTTCTTCGTTAATTTCGTTCGTCTCGTTTATGGTCGATCCTAAATACCTAAAGTTGCTGACCCGTACAAAAGTTTTATCCCGAACGACCAAAGTTCTAGTACTAGGCCTATTTTGAACTCTATCGGTTAGCATATATTTGGTTTTTTCCGCGTTTATTTGCAGTCTTAGATCTTTAGTATTATCTATTAATATTTTTGTTATTAATAAATGACTCTTGATTGTCTCCTAACAAAGCAATATCGTCCGCGTATGTCAACAATTGTGTTGTCCTTTTTAACTGTAGACCATCTTTACTTTTCTGCAGTTCTTTGACAGCGGATTTCAGTACTAAATTAAACAAAAAGAGTGACGATGCTTCCCCTCTTTTAACCTGCTATGGATATTAAAATCTTCTGACATTTGATTACCTAACCTTACTTTACACCTAGTTTCCTTTAGGCAAAGTTGAACAAGGTTCACCAATTTTCTTGAAATCCCTTGTCGTATTAGGATTTCGAGCATTTTTTCTCGTTTTACCGAGTCGTACGCTTTTTGAAAATCTGTATAAAGTTGATGTACCGGCTGAATAAATTCCCATCTTTTCTTTGAGATCTGCCGAATAGCTAAAATTTGGTCTGTAGTCGATCTATTTCTTCTAAAACTGCAATGGTGATCTCCTATTATCTCGTCCGCATACGGTACTATCCTAGCTAGTAAGATGTTTGATAGTATTTTGTAACACGTCGGTAAAAGTGAAATACCTCGGTAATTATTACAATCCATTTGTCTCCCTTTTTAAAGATTGGGATTATAATCGACTCTTTCCATTGTTCCGGCAATATTTCTTTGCTCCATATTAATATGATTAGTTCAAAAATTTCTTCGATAAATCTATTTCCCTTCCACGTTATTAGCTCCGCAAGAAATCGAGTCGTTACCCAGTGATTTATGATTTTTGAGTTTTTTAATCGCGCTTTTTACTTTTATCATCGTTAGTTCACTAACCATAGGTTCCGCCGTATGGAACTTGAAATTCTCAGTTTCCCGGTCGTTTTCAGATTCTACATTTAATAATCGATCAAAATAATATTATATCCATGTGATTAATATCCCCGTTGTATCCGAAACTAAATTGTTGTTCGCATCTTTTACTAGATCCGTCCTAGCTTGGAATTCTTTTCTGAGTCAATTAATCCCCGCGTACATACCACGGACGTTACTGCTTTGGCAATTTAACTTCCTGCTATAAACATGCATTTTTCACGATGCCCTAGGGCAACATTTAAGATAAATTCGGCCCTGTGGGTAAAAAACGCAAAATGGCTACAGCGGAATTTTTCCAACTTAAATACTTGTTAGTGGAGCTCATAAACATTAAACTTTTCATTATACTACAAGGCTTCATATATATGTGAGAGTCAACTAGTTGTACATTTAATTGATTTAAATTTATAATTGCATCTAATTGTTTATAAAAAAAAAAGTACGTAGAAGCGCATGGAAAATAGTTAAATATATTTTCGTCCTATATAACTGTGAGTATTTTATTTTTTATTAGTTTATACTTATATAATAAAACTAAAATCTAACCTGCTCAATTAAAATGTAAGGTAAAATAAAATAACAAACGCTTTTCAAAAATTTTTTGATTTTTCTAACAAGCCAAGTATTTAGAAAAAATGCTTGCATGAATATCCATAAATTACTAAATTTCTTTTCCTCTATAAAAAAATAGGTTATAACGTGCAATGACAATTTCTTCTAGTGTCTGGATGTTGGGGATTTCATCTGCCTAATGAGAGCTTGCGACAGTTGTCGCTCAGTGCGAGCTCGCCATGACTCATCACGGCCGTTGAAGAATCGCTGTGACGCCGGCTTCCCCGACAGCCATCTTATTGTTCTCTTTTCCATTACTAAAGCAACACGTGTCTTAGTTAGGGTGTTAAAGGGTGTTAATGTTATTATTATAATCATCATTACCCGGTTCTCATCTGAATAATATAATCAGTGCCTGCACGTAGTCGTCTCGCGGAATTATTGCAAATAAATCTGTTGTGTAACAGTCGCTCGTTTGAATTCTCATAATCGACACGCGGTGTACGCTTATCTTAATAAATCTGACTATTATTGCAAGTGCTCGGCGTCAATCTCATTTTCACCCACTCATTACCCAACATTTGGTCCCTTGAGCCAAATCAAGCACTTTTGTGCGGTGCGTGAAAAATAGTGCCATCTCTTTCGCTCGCGTACGGTGATTGGAACATTGCCGTCTTTCTCGCTCGTGTTGTGCGAGAACTTCTACTTCGTGTTGTCAGACAACTTCTACTGGATCATCGGAAGCAGAGCCCCAGTCAAGTCATATGTTCTCAGGTGTGTGGTGTGTGCTCGTCACAGGGGGATCCGTGCTCAGCAATTGATGGGCTAACTACCTCTGGCGCGAGTTACACCATCACGCCCATTCTCTTACACAGGCATTGACTATGCTGGACCGCTCACGCTCAAGACATGAAAGGGACATGGTTCCTAGACTCATAAGGGTTAGATCTGTGTTTTCGTCTGTCTTACAACCTCGGCCGCTCATCTCGATGTCGTCTCTGACTACTGAGCAAAGGGGTTCATTGCAGGCTACAGACGCTTCATTTCAAGAAGGGGTGTCCCTTCAGTACTAGCTCAGGACAAAACACAGTGGCATTTCAACCCACCTGCAGCCCCCCACATTGGTGGGAAATGGGAAGCGGTAGTCAAGTCTTTGAAGTTTCACCTTAGAAGAACTGTAGGAGACACACTGCTTACATATAAAGAGACCAAACTCCTCGCTCAAATTGAAGCCATTTTCAACTCAAGACCACTCGAACCACTTAGCGATGATCCAGAAGACACCGCGGTGCTCACACCAGGGCACTTTCTCATTGGAACAGCACTCAACGCAGTTCCTGAAGGCTCACGGTTGGGCATCTCAGCAAGTCGGCTGTCCAAATGGCAGTTCATTCAACAACGAGTGCAACAGTTCTGGCGCATGTGGTCAACTCATTACTTGCAGCAATTTCAAGCCATTTCAAAGTGGCATCACGCTCACAACAACATTCAGGTAGGTTCTCTAGTTCTTCTCACTGATGAGCGTTTGCCTTCAGGAAAATGGCCCATGGCTAGGGTGCTCAAGTTGTAGATTAGCTATATATCTTTATATAAACTATTTGTTCTTCGTATACCTCTTTTTGCATTTTGTTAAATAATAAAATGTAATTGTACCGATAGCGTGCGTATCTTAAAAGTGTATAGTGCTGACGGCGTGCGTATATTGAAAGAGTATTGTACCGACGGCGTGCGTATATTGAAAGTGTATTGTGCCGACGGCGTGCGTATATTGAAAGTGTATTCTACCGACGGCGTGCGTATGTTAAAAGT